TGGTCTTATAATGGGGACGGTAGACAGGAAGCTGAAAACTAAAATAAGCTGATAGACAAACATTCTGATGGCGAACGAGAAAAAATCAGAAAGATATTAGCTTCAGCCTGGAGAGTATCTATTAACACTGACATGTGGACCATGTCAGTGTTAATAGTGTTTAAACACAAAACCAGAACATATATTGTTGGTACTTGAACAAGTAGCTCAACCCCCACAGTGCACAGTCAATCAACCATCTGCAGATATATGTATGTAATACTGGAGGAAAGCAAATGAGAAGATCATCACAACAACAGATAATGAAAGTACTTTGGTGGCAACTTTTAAACACACCAAACCAGAAGGAGAATAAACCAACTCTGAGGTGGTGGTCAGAAGACTCCCCCAGGATGGAAAGTGACCCTGAAACTGATGACCTGCAATGAGCTATGAAAAAAAATTTTTTTTACATGACACATAGTGATTGCATAGATAAGAATGAAGTTAGGGACTGTGTCCTTCCTCCTAATCCTCTAAGATAAGGTGATAGTTTAAAAAAAAAGAAAAAAATATATTGTTAATGAACTATTAATCTCACAACAAGGAAAAATTTGTAACATTACAGGAATGATTCAAAACATCAGTTCAAAAGCATCAGTGTAAAACAGGATATAAACAAGATAAAATAAAAGCAATACAATCCAGAAAATGACTCAAACAGCAATTCAAAAGTTTTAAAAGTTATAAATTTATTTCTAAAATTAAGATTTTCTTACTCACGGTTATTTATCTGGGTTAATTTTTTGGGGTACCATCATATTGACATAGATATTGAATGGACGCCATATATGTTGGGCACCTTACAGCTCATCATCCACATGATACAGAAGGCAGGTCTTGATAGAGTCTATGACAGAGATAGGTCAGCGGTGAAGCTCTTTCAGAAGTTCTCTGGTGCAACACAATATAGCCTTGCTGTTAAAATCAACTGGCCTACAGGCTGGTCAAACACATTTTGCATAATTGCACGACACTTCATAGTAAAACACTTAACCTCCCAAATCTCAAACAACATGGAATGGGAGAGCTTGCTCCCTAGTGAGTTTCCAGAGCTGAAGTCACTTAATTAGTTATTTATTTGTATTTGATGAAAAGTTCTCACCACTTGTAGCAGCTGCCTTATTCGTCAACCCCGAAGCGTGTGAAACACTTGCTGATGTGTCTGATGACAGCAATCAAGAACTGCAGAAACAGACAGAGGAATGTGTGTCCAGTCGAGTCAGTCACACTTACAACAGGAAGATCAGTCTAAAGATATTGGAGAGAACAATACAAAAGAACTAGAGGAACCAGATAGCCCAAACAGAGGGCCTCTACAAGCAGCGTGACACAGCAACTCAGAAAGTATAAGGAAGAGCATTTACAGCCCATCACTTGTGACACAGGAACAGGGCTTTTGGTTGGAGTGTTTTCAGCTCCATCTACTAATCAAAAGTTTTTCTTGATATTAGTTTAAAAATGGCATTAAGTCTTTCATTTGAAATAGTGAACAGTGAATTACAGAAAATACAGTTTTTAAATTTTTATACTACATAAAAGCTTCACCAATTATGTAGCAAGAGCAGGTCTGATGGCATTAACCAGACACTTCTTATTTGAATATTTTTGAGAGTTTCAGCTTTTTAAATAATCAACAATAAATAGTTATTTATTGATAGTCCATTTGTTTTTTTTATTTCTGGGTTTTCTTGGACTAATGGCACAACTGCTTTCACGGTATTTAGGTTTATGAAGAATGCCACGTGCACTTTATGAACAATGTGTATCTTACATAATGAAAGCAAGTCAGTGTTATGTTATTTTTGTTTTTTGAGATGTTAATGCCTAAAAAAGAAAGACCAGATAAATAAAGATTTTTTGTTTCAAATATGAAAAAACTTTGAAAAATGTATTACCTTTTATACTTCATGGTTTAGTCAACTGAATCACCTTTAGATTTAATCCACTATGATCCTATGATATTTTGTTGACTAAAGCTAAGGGAATTTAGATGCCTAAATTTTGACTAAAACAAAATGACGTTTTAGTCAAAAGTCTATTATTAAAACTAAATCAAAGTTTGATCTTGAAAAATCCTTGAAAGAGTAGTTGTCAAACAGCTAACAGATCATCTGCAGAGGAATGGTTTAAGTTTCAGTCAGGTTTCAGAGCTCATCACAGCACAGAAACAGCTTTAGTGAAGGTTACAAATGATCTTCTTATGGCCTCTGACAGTGGACTCATCTCTGTGCTTGTCCTGCTAGACCTTAGTGCAGCATTCGATACTGTCGACCATAATATCCTATTAGAGCGATTAGAACATGCTGTAGGTATTACAGGTACTGCACTGCAGTGGTTTGTATCATATCTATCTAATAGACTCCAATTTGTCCATGTAAATGGAGAGTCCTCTTCACACACTGAGGTTATGGAGTTCCACAGGGTTTAGTGCTAGGACCAATTCTGTTTACATTATACATGCTTCCCTTAGGCAGCATCATCAGAAGACATAGTTTACATTTTCACTGCTATGCAGATGACACCCAGCTCTATCTGTCCATGAAGCCAAGTAACACAGGTAGTTCTAACTTTTTGCTTCTAAATTCAGGTGAAACTGAGGTTATTGTACTCGGCCCTCAAAATCTTAGAAATATGGTAACTAACTATATTCTTACTCTGGATGGCATTACCTTGGCCTCCAGTAACGCTGTGAGGAACCTTGAATAGGATGTCCTTCAACACATATTAAACAAATATGTAAGACTGCTTTCTTCCATTTGCGCAACATCTCTAAAATTAGAAATATCCTGTCTCAGAGTGACGCTGAAAAACTAGTTCATGCATTTATTACTTCCAGGCTGGACTACTGTAATTCATTATTATCAGGATGTCCAAAAAACTCACTGAAAAGCCTTCAGCTAATCCAAAATGCTGCAGCAAGAGTCCTGACAGGGACTAGAAAGAGAGAGCATATTTCTCCTGTTTTGGCTTCCCTTCATTGGCTTCCTGTTAAATCCAGAATTGAATTCAAAATCCTGCTCCTCACATACAAGGTCTTAAATAATCAGGCCCCATCTTATCTTAATGACCTTGTAGTACCATATCACCCTATTAGAGCACTTCGCTCTCGCTCTGCAGGCCTACTTGTTGTTCCTAGAGTATTTAAAAGTAGAATGGGAGGCAGAGCCTTCAGTTTTCAGGCCCCTCTTCTGTGGAACCAGCTTCCAGTTTGGATTCAGGAGACAGACACTATCTCTAAAGTAGAATGGGAGGCAGAGCCTTCAGTTTTCAGGCCCCTCTTCTGTGGAACCAGCTTCCAGTTTGGATTCAGGAGACAGACACTATCTCTACTTTTAAGATTAGGCTTAAAACTTTCCTTTTTGCTAAAACATATAGGGCTGCATCAGGTCGCCCTGAATGGATGATGCATTGAGTAGTTCTTCTTCAGTCACCTTTCTCGTCACTATATGTTTATAGACCGTTTATAGACCTCGCTGCATTGAATTACACTTGTTATTAATCCCTGTCTCTCTTCCACAGCATGTCTTTTGTCCCGTCTTCCTCCCCTCACCTCAAGCCTTCATGACAAATGGCCACCCCTCCCCGAACCTGGTTCTGCTTGGGTTTTTCCTTCACGCTTTTGCCAAAGTGCTTGCTCATAGGGGTGTCATATGATTACTGGGTTTCTCTGTGTATGTATTATTGTAGGGTCTACTTTACTATATAAAGTGCCTTGAGGCAACTGTTGCTGTGAATTTATTTATGTGTATAAATAAAACTGAACTGAGTTGAACTGAATGTTAAAACTATCACTGTCTCCCAATGCTCCTGTTTGCCACCCTCTTCCGTTGAATGCTTCCCTGTACTTCCTCATTCCACCACCAAGTTTCCTCATAATGCCATCAGACACTTTTAGCTGCGTGTTTTAGTTTTTAATATTCTGCTTTTATCCAGAAAAGAGCAGCTGAGGGATTTATCTTATTTACTCTGTCTCACATGAAGAGAGAGCACGCACTGAATTTCTTCTTTTTAAATGCTTCATCCAAAGAGCTCACAGCCATCCGACCATCCATTATACACTATATTTGCTTTCTCCCTCCCTCTCTGTTTAGCCCATAATCATAGAAAGCTTTTGTGTTTATCTTGTCCTCTTGTTTAAGCAGTCATTACAGTGGAGTAGCCAATTTTTCAACACCAAATTTAAAAGTAGTTTTAAGGTCTCCTCTCTCGACTCATATTAAAACCGCTCCCTAACGATAAGAAAGATGTTTCACATACATATTCAGGAGAACGTTATCCTTTCCCTTTTCTACTCTATATAGAATGATTGTTGTAAAATTCAAAATAGGTCATTATTAGTAGAATTACCACATTCAGCCAACTTTACAGGGAACTTCACACCATGAAGTTTTGATCTCAAACCGGTATAAAAGTACAGAGAGCATCTTTGTGCTTTTTTGTGTACGTGATTCACAACAGCATGTTCTGGACTGTCTGTTTATGCTCCCATAATCCTTTAATTCAACAGCTGGTGCGGATCCCTGTTTGAGTAATCAGAAAATATTTGTGTTGCAGTTTGTGGTCAAACTACATGATATCCTTTGTGATACTCCATCATAATGTCCAATGTGTTCAGCGTGTCCAGTTTGTTTGTTTTTTTTAAGTCTTTCAAGCCACTGACTACTCAGAAATGGTGAAGTCTGCCTTTCGTTTTGTACTCTTTAAATTTAATTATTTTCTGTATTCAGGTCAGTTCAAAATCTCTTAATAAGAGAATAGGGCTAGAGGGAAGATCAAAGTTATGGATTTCTGTTACATTATAGAGATTAAAGGATTGTCAGAATGTTAACAGGCTCCCCAAAATATGGCAATGTGCATAAAAATAGATGTAATGGGGAAAGCTTTAGGACCCAGGGGACCCAAGGGAGGGTATAAAAGAGGAAGTAGCAGCAATTGCTCTTCTTCTCTCTTTTGGCTGTGAACAATGGTTGTGTGAGTAGGTGAAGAGCCTGAGAAGTTTTGTCTTCTACACAAACGGTTGTTTTAAACCTCTACAGCAGAGGTTTGAGGTACAGGCTGTTTTTCTTTTAGTGCTTTTGTAAATTCGTTGAAATGTATTTGATGGTTATTGTATTTTATGTTTCTAGTAGTGATTTTTAGAAGACAAGCAAACACAGTTGTCTGCTGGAGGTATGTTAACATAATATATTTGACATTATAAAAAATTATATTTATGCACTACAATCTAATTTATATTGTATTGCCTCCTACAGGACAGGCTGCACACGTGAATTTGTCACTGTTTTTTCTCTTTTTTGTTGCGATTTTCTCCCAAGTTGGTTTTAGAGTAGTTAAAACTGTTTGGGTTTTTTTTATGCTGGGTTTGTTTTTATTTCCAATGGGCTGGTGCAATATTAGTCAGACAATGTGCAATCCCTGAGCTGGGCACTTACGTTACGGGAATTAGGTCTTTTAGAGGTGCTCCGTGTGGATTTGCGGTGAATAAGTTTTAAGAGTGATTTTAGTGCCACCAATTATTGCCTGAACTAGAACACTTAGTGCATGCGATATGTGTTCTGTTGGGCTCGTATTTATTTGGGGTGGATTTGTTTCTCTTAAAGCAACGAGCATCTGGGACCGCCGAGGGAGAGCAAGCCCTCAGGTGATAGTTGCATTGCTGACAGGTTGGACCAATAAGACTATATTGTGGTCGTTAGTGACCTTTTCCATTTTGATGTTTGAGGCCTTTTGCAAACCCTTTGGTTTCCTTTAAAATAATAATTTTTTACCTATCTGACTGATATTGACCCTCTTGTTCCATTTATTCTGGGCTTATTCCTGTAAGAGCTTTGGGCCTGAAAGTTTGCACGAGTAGTGTATAGGCCCTTAGCGGTTACTCGGTGGCTTTTACTCGCTACATAGAGGTAGAGAGGAGGAAGCAAAAATATTAAACTCAAAGGGAACAACTTTTATCACCTCCATACGAAGTATAAAAGATGGATGCAGCCACAGTGGCATCACCCATTGGTTAGTGAAGCCCCTTTGGGATGCCTTGGACTTTTGCTAACCTGATGTCTGCCATTAGAAACTGTATGGGAGGGAGAGTTGTGAAACAGTGTGAGCAGAGTTTGACCTAAAACTGGCAATTAGGCTGTGACCACACGTACGCGGGTATGTTTGTAAACAGATTTTCCGTTTTTGTTTAAAAGAAAATCTCGTCCACACGTAATCGCAAAAAACAAAGTCAAACGCTGTCAAGAACATGCCAAAGCAACAGGTGGCGATGTAATCCTAACTGGGTAGAAATGTTGGCCAATCAGAAGTCTAGAAGCCTGGGCGGGAAAGGGTACACAAAGATGGTGCATAGAAGCAGTTAGTTACTGGTATGTAAATAATTTTGCTCTTAATTAGTTATTGTAAAAGATATTGCTGTTGAAAAAGGATAAAGGAGGACTGCCTCACAATCCATTACTAAGCTAGCAAAAATAACTATTTTTTAAAAAATACATCATATGTTCAATATTAATGAGCTTGCCACTGGCAAAGTTGAGTTAATTGTCAGGTGAAGAAAAATCATTTGTTAAACTAATATTTATCAAGCCTTGACCAATTAACCCAAATGACATGTGTAATAAAGCAGAAACTTGGAAACTCAGACAATGAAGTGAGTTGTAACTGTATTAATTGTGGATGGACCTGTCATAATATGCCTACATACATAACACAGGAAGGAAACCCTGGTCACTATGGTTTGCTTCAAGGAGCAGTATAAGCCAAAATGGATGGATGATAAATTAAAGGAAAAAACCTTAACCCTTACACCAAGGAGATCTGTCTCTGTTGTACTGTGGTTGCATTTTGCTGAGATATTTTAGTTCCACTTGTCCCTTAAGAGCAAAGGGTCACCATAGATCAATACAAAGTTCTTCAGAGTCATCACCTTTTTCCTATGATGAAACCCCTGATAGGAGTCATGTCTTCCAAGATGCCATCCAAAGAGGATTCAGGCTCACTGAATAGTTTGATTAAACAGCTCACCTGTCCCTGGGCTTAAATCCCTTTAATTACTGATGTGAGTCAGCTGTGTCAAAGAAAAAGGCGGTACCTCAGGCAGAAGAGATTGAAGGACACGCCCACACAGGCACCTTCAGGAGGAGGCCTTGCAAGAGCCGTAACAAATGGAAAAGAGAATTTAAATTGATTTAAAACTAGCTTGAACTGCTTGTCAATTCCCAAGTGATCTTTCGTGGAATAGTGTCCTGTCAACGGAGAAGACATGGACTGGAAGCACTAAAATGACCAAGTGTCATCAACAGAAGGAATCAGAAGGCTAGATTGAAATCACTTTTGCTCTTTGAAAAAAAAAAGCTAATATTGAAGTCCTGACCTTTTGTGACTGACATGTTTCCTGTCTTCTTGAATGTAAATTAACTGCCTGCTAGCAGTGCTGTTTTAATTAAACTCAATACAGCTGCCACACAGTCTGTGACATCAAAACTTGAATCTCATTAGAATACCATAGACCTTTTATACCAGGTAAGGATACTATGATAACTGTACACTACACTACAAAGTGAAAATACAGCAGATGGCATTTTAGTAATATTTAGCAATTTAAATAAGACGGATGGAGCTGAAGCATGTTACTTGATTTCAAAAATATTGATATTATAAAAACCAGTTCTTCTGACTGAGGTTTAGTCAGGTAGTGGAAAAAATGTTTTGAGGATTTTGTAATTCAATTGATATGCCTCCAATAGAGGAAGAAGGGTCTGGGCATGAGAGGTGTCTTGGCCATAAACGGGGGTGAGGTCACTGAGATAGCTGTTCAAGGCAGTGGTTCTGCTTTTTTAAGAAGGGGGGCCAGAGAGTGTGTTACAGTTTCAGAGATCACAATTCTCAGCCTCCACTGGAAGATCTGTGCCAAGGTAGAGCAGTCCAGGATTTAAGAGAACCAGTACAGTTTTTGTTGCTGACAAGGAGCACTGGACCAACTCTTTATTCTCTTTATTTTGTTCAAAGGTGCATAGGATTCTGTAGGTATTTATTAAAGTCAAAGAAAGGAATCTGTCTTACAGCAAACTGCAGACAACAGATTCAGCACAGTTTTTTTTTCTTTTTTGCTAATTCAGTGAAACCTGTTATGTCACATGCTGAAGTAACATTTCACTAGCTAGAATTACATGCTAATTCCCATCTTTAGCGTCTCTCATATAATGTGAATTTAGTGTCTGATCACCTGAGCAGACATTTCCTGAAAGCACCAACATGACCAAGCTGGCCATCAGTGGAACAATTTAAAGGGCTAGACTGCTTAAGATTTCTTTCTCTTTTTTTAGACAGAGAACATAGACAAGTGTTTTTTGACAAACCAGAAAAAAATGTATCTAAACTGTGTGACTTGACAATTTGCTTTTAATTTTTCTCTGTATTAATGTAAAAGTCAAATCCCAAAACACCTTTGATTTGATCCTGAACTCTTTCATATTTTCCTCACCACAGGGTGGCACTAGCAGTTTGAGGAGAGGAGACAGAGAGAGGAGCAGGAAAGAGAGGGAGAGCAGCAAAGATTGATGCAACACGGCACAAGTCATCACTGCGACAATGCAGATTAAAGCAGAGGAATGAAAAGAGGAAACAACACGAGAAGAACCTGACAGGGCAAAAGAAGCGGAAACAAGAAAACAAGATGCTTTGTCAGGAGCTGTATTTGTATGCTGCTCACAGTCCCTGTAAATTAGAGAAGAGAGAAGTGTGAGGAGGAGAAAGGGAAATGTGTATATGTATGTGCGTTTCTGTGTTTTAGAGGTAGGATGGGGGTAGGGATACAAAGCTGGACAACACAGCTAATTCAGATAGCAACAATTCAGAGCTGGTTTTCTCATTTTAATGTCCATCATTGAACACACACAACAAACCTGTATTGGCAGACTGATTGTTGACAGTGAGCGCACACGTTTACAGGATATTCTTGATTCCACTTGAATTACTGCTGTCTCCTTCTACTGTCACTATGTAATCCCAGCAGTCTGTTGAAAGCCCTGTCAACTGAAACCTAAAGGGAGACATGAAGCCACTCCTTCTCACCAGATGAACCTCTCTCATGTCAGTGTGCCTTGGGACAGGATACAAAGAGGAGTTTAAGAAAATCTACCATAGCTCTATTTTCTTTCTTTCAGTATTTATAATGCAGCTTGCTTGTTTCAGCTGATCTTCACATGTCAGATAGCCTCTGTCACATGTTGTTTTTAGATGAGTTTCATCTTGAGACTTCCTGTGCCTTTTGACTACTATAGTAGATTTAATAAAATGGTACATGAATTCAATTCAATTTTATTTGTATAGCGTGAAATCACAACCAAAGTTGCCTCAAGGCGCTTCATAGAGATACAGAGAAAAACACAACAATCATATGACCCACTATGAGCAAGCACTTTGGTGACAGTGGGAAGGAAAAACTCCCTTTTAACAGGAAGAAACCTCTGGCAGAACCAGGCTCAGGGAGGGGCGGCCATCTGCTGCGACCGGTTGGGGTGAGAGAAGGAAGACAGGATAAAAGACATGCTTGAAGTGTTTTTATATTACAGCTTGAAGTTCAGGCAAAGTTCATGTCCACAAATGAACATGGAAATGCTGATATTCAATACTGACTGAAGATGTGTACACTTGGGCCATGTTGGCCCAGCATTCGTAGTTTTCGTGTTTTGTATTTTGTTCTTCATTTATGCCTTCGTTCCTAGGTGGTTCTGTTAAAATGTTCCTCATTTGATTTCCCCATGTCACTTTACCCCGTGTGCTCCTCTGTGTATCGGTGAGTCCTCGTCTCCCCTACTTGTGTTTTATTCCGTGTTTTCCCCAGCCCGTTATGTCTGTGCTCTCCCCGTGCTTTCGCTCTCCTCCTGTCTGCACCTCTGTGTACTTCCTGTTTTACTTTGACAGTCTCCCGTCAATATGAGTCTTGTTCTGTTTGCTGTCAGCTGTGATCCCCGTGTGCTCCCACTTCCCTCGTTAACCCTCTGTGTATTTATGTCCACGTCTCCCTCAGTTCAGTCTTGCGTCGTCAATGTCTCCTCCCTGAACCTGTGTGCCTTGTGTTCCCTCGGTTCTTAGTTTAGTTTTGCCAGTTTAGTTCTGTTTCTTTGTAAGGCCTGCAATAAAGCAGTGATTATGAGTTCAGCTCCTGTCTCCGTGAGTTTTGCGTTTGTGTCCTCATCTGCCTCCACACAGCCAGTTCATGACCCTTACCAGTTTAGACCACAAATGTTTTCCCAAGCTGGCTCATTGAGTACAAGATCAAGAATGACAGACAGACTACTCTTACATATTTTCTTTCGCACTGCCTGGGGCTCTATTATTTGTACATTGTTGCTTAAATTCTACTGTTTGGCTGTAGAGGAGCACAAATATTACCGGTCCTAATGCATGAATGTTTTCAGGGTTGGTAAGGTAAAGCGCCAAAACATGACTTTCTACTCATGTTTTGGCACTTTACCTTACCAACCTTAGCAAAACTGAGGCACGTGTGGGGCAAATATTCACTGCAGATGTTGGTAAAAGATGACAATACTTTTTTTTTTTTTTTTTTTTAACGGATTTACGTCACCAAATGGACCATCCCAGTCTTGCCGTAATGGTCTATTTGATTTACTTTTTATTGTTTATTTTATTTTATTTTCACTTGCTAAATGTGGGACAGACTTGACTGGGGAAAAGAAACGGGAGAAAGAAAAACAGCGGGGAAGAGGGATGGGGATAAAGAGCAAAAAACAAAAACGAACAAAACGAGCAGACAAAAAATACATATATCAATCACCTGTTGAGAAAGAAAAAAGAGAAAACAAGCAGAAGAAAAGAGAGCAATATAATAAACAACATCACGATGATCTATGGGAATATGACAGTAAATACTAAATATTAAACATTATTGTGCAGCACGTAAGATCGACAGCGCACAGTGTGCTTTGAGGTAGGAGCCAAAAAGGGTGTCATTTGTGTGTGAGCACCCGTGTGTGCACCTATGAGAATGAGTGCGCTTGTATTTAAAAGGTTCCTTCATGTAATGATCTGCTACAGGGAGCCACAGCCCCATCCTCCAGGGCATGAAGCAGGCATGGAGGAGATCAAAACTCCAGACATCCAGAGGCCCTCAGAGCACAAGAGACCAGGGCAGCCGCACCACTATCCCAGAAAGAGCTGAGGAGAGTCCCAGATGAGGGGTCACTCAGCAGCCACGGAGCAGAAGCCGGGGGGTTGCAGTGACAATACATTTTTAAAAACCATAGCTTATAAAGAAAAAAAATCTAAAATTAAAATCATAATCTGTTTAACATAGCATTATTCCAAAACCAATTTAACTTCTGAGACTCTGCAAACATGGTAGCTTATGCCTGGTCTTTGCCATATTATTGTGGAGGTCATCTCATTAGAACACTGTCAAAGAATATACTGACTAATAGCAAGGTACATGGTCAAACATTCAGTCGCTGACATCTACATTTTTAATCACTGATGACTCTAACTGAAGCTGTGCCCTACGACACTCAGGTATAGGACTGGCTATTAGTAGATGCTAATCATGAGTCAAATATAATATCAGTTAATATCGTTTCTTCCATTTATGTAACCTGTTGGTGTGCTTCAGTAAACTGATTTGTAGAACATTAGCAGTACATAAATACTTCTATGCGAACCAGAGACACAGAAGACAGAAAGGATTGTTTCTTCTCAGGGGAGGGCAGGTTATGCCTTTGTCATCCGAGGGAGAAAAAGCACAATACTGAATTATAAGCATCAGAAGTGATTTGAAAATGGGACTATGCATGCTCACTGACAAACGGCAATGGTACAACACAACCATCTGAAATGAAGCTTAGACATAAGTTCAATAAGGAAGATCTGTAATTATAACTGCTTTTCTGGGTCTTAGGCTGCTTTTCTGTTTACATGTCTACCACTTTCCCACGCTGTCATTCTCGATACTTGACATCATTGGTCTAGTCCAATCATCTTCTTACCCACAAGTTTTGAGCCAATCAGCTTCTGCTTTGCATGGTGTAAGTCCGTGTTTTCTGCCACTCTCTCTTTCTTCACAACCACCAGTGTTTAGACTCCAGGGGTCCTGTCCTAAAAAAGGTATATAAAAAAGAAAAGAAAGACATCAAAACAAATCACAACAATCTCAATTTTAGACAGCAATCTGTTAACCACACCTGAATCCAGTCCCTTTTGAATGAGTGCAGCAGAATGTCAGGTTGCCACATATCACTGTGGTGGCCTTTCTGTAGGTCCAGCAGCACAGCAGTCCTTGTCTCCTCTCCTTCACCACTTTGTCGTGTTTTCTGACTTGCAGGTGTTGCTGTTGAAGCATTTTAATCATAATTTGACAAATGGATTATTTTCAAACAAAAATAAATACGTTTTATAAAATATAGTAAAATGTGATTTATTCGTTTATTCCGCAGTGTTTCTATTCTGAAAGATAGAAGAGAAGTAATCTCATCTGCCTGTTTGGAGCAAGCTCCTTTGGTATGTGTTGTTTATAACAGCCTTAAAGGAGCAAACATTATTTAGGCCCACAAAGTTCCACTTTCAATATTTTTATTTATTATTTTTTCAATATTTCATAAAAAGGAGCCCTTGCCTGGTTAGAGTAACACTGAAGAATTTAAGTTCATAGATTTGAACCAGAAAAACTAATTATGAGGGTTAAACTAGGTTAAAACACTGCATGTGTCGACAAACTGCCTCATGTTTGAAATTTTTGTACTGTAATACTTTTTGATGTCATAAATCATAACCCCTTTGTAGAGGTTTTGCACAGCACTTACAAAAAGCTTTTCCCTCATGAAGATCCATCGCAGCAGCTGCTGTAACGCAGGTTTGAGGTTTACATTTGAGACAGTGTTCTTATAATGAAAACAAAATGTGATCCTCTGAAAGGAACGGCTCAAAGTAATGTAGCACAGTCACGGTCACAATTCACCAGGGGTTAAAGAGGCTCTGTAAAAAATGTGGAAATGTCTTCACAAAAGCCAACACCATAGCACACAGGCACCACACAGACTTGTCTGGGAATGGAACCCAGTATTTCTAACACTATAGCAAGACCCTTCTACTAGACCAACAAGCCCTTATGTGGTGCTAATGTCCTCCAACCGAAATTTTACTGTTAGGTTCAAATTTTAATTTCTATTATAATTCTGACTTTAATTGGTCACGAAAACAATAGAATAGAATAGAATAGAATAGAATTCAACTTTATTGTCATTGCACATGCACAGGTACAGGGCAACGAAATGCAGTTTGCATCCATCCAGAAGTGCTTTAGTGATATAGATATATTACAATATATATTAGCAATAATATA